ACACACACACACACACACACACACACACACACACGCACACACACACACACCCTGGCTCAGCTTCCGAGTCAGCCATCATAACAAGAGGATTGCTCTATAGTTTTTGCTGGGGAGGCTAACAAAGGAACCAAACCTGATAGTCAAAAAGTGTGTGGAAGGTGTCTGAGGATGGCTGTGTCAAGCTGGACTTTTTGGCTCGTTACCTTTCCGGGCTGGGTGAAGAGCCAAAGTCAAACTAATGCTGCCCCCTGGTGCCTGAACGGATTCTTCCCCTGCACATCCGTGGGCACTGGACACCGCATTTGCCTAGATCTAACCAGTCAGCAGTGGTAGGAACGAGCTGCACTTATAAGTCTAGTCGTGGACTCTGTCTGAACTTATTTGTGTTCGAGTCCTGCCAGAGATTCCAACTGCAGAATCGGCTGGTTCATTGTCTATAAAATGGAGCACACATTTTAAAATGGAGTAGAGTAGCCCATGGGTCATGAGAATAAAATGACAATCATGAAGGCTTAGAGTAACACTGGTACACAGTGAGCAGCAAGCAGCAGGCACTTTCGCTGTGGTTGCTCAATTATTTGGTCGGGCTTTTGTTGTTGGTGGTGGTGTTCAAACAGGAGCTCATGTAACCCAGACTGGCTGTGAAATTGCCACGCAGCCAAGGCCAAGCCTCGACTTCACCCTCCTGCCTCTACCTCCCAAGTTGAACACAAGTGTGCAACAACACACGAGGTGTATGTGGTGCTAAGAACGGAGTACAAGGTAGACAAGCATTCTACCAAATGAGCCCATCAGATACTATTTGATTGTTTTTAATGTGTATAGACATACTGTCTGAATGAATGTGTCCCACATGCATGCCAGATGCTTTCTGGGGCTGGAAGAAAGCATCGTTTCTCTGGAAATGGAGTTATGGGTGGTTGTGCACTATTACCATATGGGTCTTGGTAATCAATCCAGGTCCTCTGGAAGAGCAGCCCAAGCTCTTAACCACAGAGCCTTTTCTCCAGCCCCAGACACTTTTTATGGCCCAGAATAAATAGTATGTGAGGAAATCAGAAGGTTTTTCATCTTATACCCTTACACAGGAACCCTTTCATGGTTCCTGGGTTGGGGGAAGATAACATCCTTGCCTCAAAGACAGGGCCTGGAAGAGGTGTGTTCCTTATGAAAGTCCTGGGTCTGTAAGGCAGTGATCGGAAGAGAAGGGAGAGAAGGTGGGGTGGGGACGGCAGACAGGAGTCTGTCCAGAGACTGGTTCAGCAAATAATGCTTACACTGAGGTGTAAGCATGAGTGAGCCCGTGTGCACACCTATGTGCTTCCAGATGCCGTCAGACATATGGAAGCCACGCTCTGCTGAAGACCTTAGGACGTCCAAGTGCAAGGACAGGCAGGAAGAGAGGGAAGAGAAGCTGCAGGCTCTGGCTTTAGATCCCTTAAGTAGGACAGTAACAAGCAAGGACTAGAAGAAAAACAGTATTTCGTCTTCCTTGATATCTTATCTATCACACCAGTGGGGACACTGAGATGTCACGGGAAAACCCAGAGTTTAGCAGTAGATCTGATTCTACATTAGAGATCCATGACTCCAATCTATGATGTGGAACGAACCAGGTGGCACGGATACAGGGATGGTGCATTCAAATACAACAGTCGTCATGATACTCAGTGGAGCCTGGAGTACAGTGAGGTGACCAGGGCACAATCCATGTCAGACTGTATAACTGTAGGGTCAGGCCAGCCTTCTTTAATGACACCCACCCGCATGACACTTCATTGCCTCACCTTCCCTCAGGCCTGTTCTCCCGCCCAGTGTCTGAAAAGATTACATAAGAGAAAGCATTAGGAAAAAAAAATACGGTGTGAGAAATTGAGATTGCAACCAAATAGTGAGTCATGAAAGCAATTTGATGGGTGTATTAGTTTTGCTAGGGCTGCCATAGTAAATCACCGCAAGCTCGGTGGCTTGAAAAACAGAAATTTGACTCATGGTGTTGAAAGCTGAAGACCCAAGATCAAGGTATTGTAGGGTTGGTTCTTTCTGAGAACTATGAAGGATTTCAACATGTAATTTTTCAAGAAACATACCTCATTCAGTAACAATATCTTGACCACTTTAAAAAATAATAAAATGGGGCTGGAGAGATGGCTCAGTGGTTAAGAGCACTGTCTGCTCTTCCAAAGGTCATAAGTTCAATTCCCAGCAACCACATGGTGGCTTACAACCATCTATAATGTGAACTGATTCCCTCTTCTGGCAGGTGTAAATGCAGAGAGAACACTCATATACATAAAATAAAGAAATTTAATAAATAATAATAATAATAATAATAATAATAATAATAAAATGGGATAGAAAGGGTTGGAGAGATGGCTCGGTGGTTAAAAACACTGGCTTTTCTACTAGAGAACCCAGGTTCAATTCCCAGCACCCACATGGCAGCTCATCACTGTCTGTAACTCCAGTTCCAGGGGATTTACTGTTCCTCATCTGTCCTCCAAGGGCACCAGGCACATATGTGGTACACAGACATACATGAAGAAAAAACAGCCACACACATAAAATAAAACAAACAAATAACATAGAATATGAATTACCAGGAAGAACCCAGGCATGGTGGCGACATGCACCTTTAATCCTAGCACTTTGGAGGAAGAGGCATAAGGATCTCTGTGAGTTCAAGAACAGCCTGATCTACATAGAGAGTTCCATGACAGCCAGCATTAAACAGAGAAACCCTTTCTTAAAAGAAAAAAAAAAAAGCAAAAAACAAAATCAGACACACACACACACCTGAAATGAGTTGTGCCCTGGTCACTTCATTGTATTCCAGGCTCCACTGACTATCACAATGACTGTTGTATTTGAACACACCATCGCCGCACCAGTGCACCTGGATTGTTCCACGTGATAGACTGCCAGTGACGGATTTCTAAAGTAGAATCAGATCTGCTCCTAACCTCTGGCTTTTCTGTGCCATCTGTGTCCTCTGAGGACATCTGCATCCACGTGCACATACCCTCATGCAGACACACACATCTACACATAACAAAACAATAAAAAATGTTTAAAAATATTTTTTTAGAAAGCGGATGTTCTCTTTGCCTCATGATTATTGTCCCCAGATGTGAGCCCTCAGCTGAGGGCTCAGCTGCTGCTCCAGTACTGTGCCTGCCTGTTGCCCACTGGGACAGTCATGGTCTCTAACCCTCTGGGATGATGAGCCCCAAATTAAATGTTTTCTTTTACAAGTTGTCTTGGTCACGTTGTTTTGTTGTGACAATAGAAAAGTAAGATGTATTGTCTGATAAGCCCTTGTTCCCATCTTCTGTGTGGACTTGATTTCCAGGTCATGATAGCAGACCAACTTTCTAGTGCAGGTTGTGTTTATTTAAAGCAAACAAGCAAAAAGGATGATAAGATGTTTCAGTGAATAGAACTGCTTGTTGCACAAAGTTGACTGACAAGTGTTCAATCTGTGGAACCTAAGGAAAAAAAAAAAAAGCTGGTGTGGTGATACACATTGCTGTTAATGCCAGCATTTGGGGGGCCAAGGCAGGCAGATCTCTGTGAGTTCAAGACTAGCCTGGTCTACAAGACTAGCCTTTCTCACAAAAATGACAGGAGTGGCGATATGTATCTGTGATCCCAGTACTCTTACAGCAAGAGAGGAGGCAGAGACAGGAGATCAACCAGAAGCCCTTAGGCCAGCAGAGACAAGAGAGACCATAAAGGACAGAAGAAAAGAACGAACTTCCAAATGTCCTCTGACCTAAACATGCACAGTGCCAACATGCTCTCTCAACAACAACACAGAAGTTAGAGTTAAAATGGCATTTGGATGTTGGTGACCATTACATACCACACTGTACTGCTTTTAGAATTATGTTATGAGAGCATCTTCCTTCCTCTGCGCGAGCCTAGGCTTGAGAAGGAAGGTGCCTCATCACTATACTGAGCATCATCACGTTGTAGAGCAGCTGGGACAGACAGCACAGATCTTTGTGAGTAAATATACAAGGGGCTCCCATTCATTCAGCATCTCTTACGTATCTGGCACTAGGCTAAATGGTTCACACAT